TGTAATTTATGAGATTTGTTGTATTTTGAATCCAATCTTTCTTTGTAAAAGGCATAAAGTTGATCATACTGATTTCAATGTTAAGGATTCATTAGTTTGAATATACATTGAACCAAAAACATATATATCATAACATCTTAGTTGATAATTCAGTACTTTATTTTTGACAAAACATCCCATGTTTCCATAGTGACTGCACATTTTCGGTAGTGACAGTAATGCTTTGATAGCGACCACATCACATTACTGAATTTTAACTTGCATACTAAAACACTAGGCTACTAAAACATACTAAAATACAAAACATTTGCATAACTGTACTAAAATTTTGTTTATTTCCCCCAAATATGAGGATTATGTGTTCCCTTTTGTCACTACCGAAACAATGATGACATTAAATGGGATTAATTAAATGGGATAATACCCCAAAAAAAACAAAGATGTCATTACTGAAACTCCACCAAATGTTTCGGTAGTGACAATTTTAGATACTTTTGAACCTAGCTCAAAGATGCTAATCAGTACATGGTTAGCTAGCACAGTTCAGAACAGTGGTACACATATAAAAACTAAATGTTATGGAATAACTCCCAAAAAAGTGTGCTTAATTGCAGAAAAAAGTTGTTCGGTAGTGATGTTTCTTAGTTGCACACATATTTTCAGACTTTTGAAAACAATTTACCTCAAAATGATGAGACCTATCTACTCACACCTTGTAGCTATGAGAGAGGGGGACACAGGAATATTTCCTGGTCTAAACATACTGATGACTAAAACATACACTGTTTTGGTAGTGACATAAAAAAATGCAGGACACAGTTTTTTACATACATTTTCAGAATTTACTAAGAAAATATAAAATAAAAAGAATTAAAAAGATACTTTTAAAAACAACAATGGAAAAAAAATACAAAAATTATTTAAATATCATTTTCATAAGTTGAAATTTAGGGGTTAGGGTTTGGGACAGCCACCTCCCAACTGAAAGTACCCAATAAATGATGATTTTATATACAGTATATTAAGCTTACTAATATTTTAAATATTATTGTGGTTTTCAATAGATAATAGAAGGATCGTAGTAAACATCTAAGATTTGAATACTTGAATGCTTTTTAAATGTGTTTTTTGGTTGTGGGACAGCAGTTTGGACCAATTCTGTAGAATGGCCCATATATATATATATGTACTACACACATCCGTAAAATAACAGAAAAAGTATTGGCAGCTCATTACACATGACATTATCCATTCATTTTATGGACATTTCTGTTAACTGAAATGTAAAATTCAAAATACTGGTAAAATTAATTAATTAATCAATTTGTTACATTTATATAGCGCTTTTCTGGGCACTCAAAGCACTTTTACATGGAATGGGGGAATCTCCTCAACCACCAGTAAAACACCTGTAAAAAGTAAAAATTCCTTCAAATTATACAGCATATTGTGCCCTATTTTTACAGATTTTTTTTAGAGTGTATATATATATATATATATATATATGCTTACATGACACTTATGTAAAGGGAACTATGCTTTGTTTTTTTGAAGACAAAATCAACTTATAAAGCAAAGATTTCTGGTATGATTCTGGTTGTACATAGGCCTCAACACTTGGTGTAGGCCACACAATGGTGACGATAGTGTTTAATATTAACATGGGTTTTTATGTAGCTTCAAGAAAATCACATTTCTTAGTATTTGAAACTCTAAAGGTTTTTTAAACTGGAAAATATGTAGTTACTTTTTTTTTTACAGCTTGGCACATTATGACTGCATGTATGAAGTATTGCCTGGCATCTGTCCATGCTGCGTGCTCTGAGTGCAGCCTCTGTGTCTGTAGGCATATGACGAGCTGACATCATTTGGTGTGGCTTCAAGAGATGAGAACCTGCTAAAAATGCAGCCCCGAAACTACCTTCTTTAAAAGAGCAAAGGCCAGACACATTGGCTACGTTTACATGCACAATGTTTGGTTCAATCGGACTGAATTCATTCCGATTGATGAATCTGAATGTAGTGTTTACATGAACGCTAAATAAAGTGATCCGGTTGATGTGTCACAAGCTTCTAATCGGAATTTTTTTTTTTTTTTGACATGTGCACACTGCACAAATATAGAGTTTCTCACTTGCACATAATAACCACTCTCCTACACGGTTTCTTTATTTGTTTTTAACAGCAGAATTAATATTTATCAATTTATGGATAAATATACATAAACCGCTGTGCCGTGCTGCTCATATTTACCACGCAGTAAAAATGCCCTTGAACGGGTTGCCTGTGGTGGATCTTACAAAGTAGCATAACCTCATCTGAAAATCATTTCCATGCATATTCCCATCCACATGACACCATGTTTAAATCAAAGCTACAAGACGTTAAGGAAATATGAAGTAAGGACTAAATGCCATTTGTGCCACATTTATTTTTATTGCCAAAATCATCCAGTATGTTTTAGAATAAATATATCAAAATACCCATAAAAACAAAACTGTTTAGTTCTCAGATAAATTTTAGACATTGACCTCAATCTTTTCCACTGGCCAAATAGTATTTCAATTGTTTTAAACAATTCAAATCAAATTAAATGTATACATTTTTCTAAAAAGATGAACATCTTTTAGCTATTTTTAGTGGAAACAGATAAGTGCGTGGAAAACAGCGTACGCACATTTCTATGCCCATTTTGTGCATACGCAACATTTATACATGAGGCCCCAGGACTGCACTATAGGCGGTTTAGCGAATCACAGCACACTAGGCCAGCTAACCAATCTGAGCCCATTGCATATTTCTGAGGGAGGGGCTTCATAAAACCAGGAAATTATCAGAGCGTTTATCGGAGAAGGGACAGAGCAGAGCAGTGTAGAATAAAGGTAAATGATGTGAAAAATAATGCGTTTTTTAATCTAACACATGTTAGATTGCACCCCATAAACACAATCAAGCCTAGAAAAAAAAACAGTCAACCATCCCTTTAAACCCACACAAAAGAAACAAAGAATCATGTAAATCCCAGTAAACCTGAGACTGACTTGTGACATTAGAACAAAACATATATTGACTAAACTGAACACTAAATTGAACAATGCATTCTTATATATGCTTTATTTTAATTGATTAAACTTTTTTTTTTTAATGAATGTTTGTATTAAACATGGACCGTTACTTTAGTTATTATTTCTGCTATTGCAGGCTCATTTTGTAAATGTAAGCATTTGAAATTTTAGACGAGTGCAAACTTTTAGTGTTTAATGCAAAATTTGTCACATTTTTAAAAAATAGGTGATTGTGTTCTATGCAAATGCATGTATTAATGTAGAGACAAAATAATTAGGTTAATCACTGTCTGTCACCATTAATTTAATTTGTGAAGACACTGATCAATCGTACACTACAAAAAAATCTTAAGCTTTTGGTTTTATTGTTCATAAAAAATAAAAAATAAAAACCTTTAAGCAAATAATGTTAAATGCTATCTAAACTAATTCTCATTTTAAAATGTCAATTTTAGGTAAACTTTCTCATTTAAATACATTTTATATAGGCCTACAACAAAATAAACTTAACATGAAATAAATATACTTTTTTTGGTAGTGTTGTATTTCCTACAGGGCAAGGGAAAGGAAGAGGTATGTAAAATGAAAACAAACGTTTCTAAGCAGTAGTACACATCTAAATGTGTGTTTGTTTGTTTTTTCCAGAATAGGTCCAGATAGATTTCAGCCTATATGGGATCCCTGCACTGGATGGCCAATTTCACATGTATTTTGTATATTTTTAAAATGCAAAATGCTGTATTTGTATTTAAATACATTTTTCCACACAGTATTTTGTATTTTTATTTTAAATACATTTTCATGTATTTATGCCCATTTCTGAACAGATATAACTTTTTATTAATTGTTGCCTGGGTTATATTACAATTTTACATTTTATTTAATACTTGTATTCATTATTTAAAATTTAAATAATTAATATTTATTATATAAGAGATGCATATAACAAATTAAAAAATTAGTGGAAAATAATAATACGTTTAAAACATGTAATTAATAACATAAATTATACATTTAACATTGTAATATTGTAAAAAAACAAAAAAAAAACCTGACGAATAACTGTGCAAAGAATCAACAGAAATTGAAAAAAAAAGAAAAAAAGTTATCTTCCTCAAGGGGGCGCTAACTAGCCTTAGAAACCAAGCCACATGATTTTTTTCTGTCAAGAATGGACCTGATCCAAGCAGATTGCAAACACCTGTGTGTTACCTGAAGTGATGAGGCTGTTAAGTTGGCGGATGATGCTTCTGCAGGACGGTCTGAGCTCAGGCTGGTACTGCATACACTGAGCGATCAGTTCGGCCAGCTCAGTCCACTCCAGCGCAGGCAGGTTTGAGAAATGCTCATAAAACTGCTGCTTCTGGATTCAAATAAGGACAGCAATTTACAAATTATGCAAATACTAATATGAAGTGAACTCTGCTTTTTATAAATGATAAACATTAAGATACAAAAAGCAAATGTTGCACAAAAATGTTCTACCTTTTGGTCTGGGTGGGCAGCACTTGCCCAGCGTGACGGGGATGTCTGACATGAGAAGCGTACTGTGCTGATAGAAATCTGTGAGCTGTTTTAGACTACAGAATGAGTTGTGGATCCCAGCCAGGCTAAACTTCTCGTTTTTCTCTATCAGACAGTCCTTGTAATCCAGCCCTAGATGAGTCTGTCAGAACATCCAGAAGTTAAGAAACATAACAACAGAGACTTTAGTCCTTAACAATTTCATCTGTGAAACTAAAGAAAGATCATGCTGGAGTTGAGTCAAAAGTCACATTGTAATAATACTATATAGTCATATATAGGAAGTAGCTCTTCATGCATCAGATTTAAAGCTTGTTATGAATCATGTGCTTTTTTTTTAGTTACTTCCTGTTAGTTGAAACCTAAAGGCTGGTGTCTGTATGAGTCCAGCGAGGCTGGTACCTGTATGCAAACAGTGAGGAAGTACTTGTCAAAGTCCTTGGGACTGTGACGTAACAGGAACATCCCATTTTTGGCTCCGGCTTTCTTAAGCTTGTGCACTGCAAATTCTGACCTTCAGAAAACACACAACAAAATTGTGCTCATTACTTAGTCATTTCCTTTCTAATTGTACCATATGGTAAAATATGAAATATTGTGTAGTACGTAATTGGGCCGTGGCAGTAATTCTGTATGTCCTGCAGCAAGCTTGGCGGGGCCACTTCTGTGCAGAAATAGTGAGTCGAATCTGTAGTCAATCTAAAATATCCATCAACCAGAGAGACAAACGAAAGAGCCTCAGTTAGGGTGTGAAACTCAGCCTCCTATTGGTGGAAAGAGAAACAAAATACTCAATTTAAGATGAACTGCTATATAATGTAGAATTCAACAAAAAGGACAAGCTTGAATTCATCATACTTTCATAATATCAAACCTTGGTTAATCAAAATGGCAAATGAGGCACTACCACTAATAGTATCGTTGAGGAAGTTTACTTCCTTTTCTAATGTGTTTATGTATTAATACTCCAAAAAAGATTACATTTATGCAATGCCACTACCATGCACTGGTCGTCCTGGCGTGTGAGAGTGACCACCCTTCCTTCCAAGGGCATCTGCTCTTGAGAAAGACGCTTAATACTAATGTCTGTGATCTGGGGGAAATCACAAAATGTCTGCCATTCCTGTGAACGTACCAGAGGGAGTCCAGTAAATAACAGAGAGCAAATCTACTATACACACACTACTGTTTAAAAGCTTGGGATCTGTAAGAGTTTTTAACATTTGATCAAAAATACAGTGAAAACGGTAAAATTGTAAAATATTATTACAATTTAAAACGACTGTTTTCTGTTTTAATATATTTAAAAATGTCATTTATTTCTGTGATGGCAAAGCTAAATTTTCGGCATCATTACTCTAGTCTTTTACATGATTCTTCAGGAAACATTCTAATATGCTGATTTGCTGCTCAAGGAACATTTCTTCTTATCAATGTTGAAAAGAGTTTTGCTGCTTAATATTAATATGTGGAAGCCATATGATAGCCTACATTTTCTTCAAGATTATCATTAATAATAGCAAAGTTCAAAGTTCAGAAGAACAGCATTTACTTGAAATATAAATACAAATATTTTGTAACACTATAATTGTCTTTAGAGTGACTTTTGATCAATTTAATGCGTCCTTGCTGAATAAAAATATTAAATTCTTTGTAAAGAAAAAAAAAAATCGCGCTCACCCCAAACTTTTGAACAGATCACTCTGCCGAAGTTTAAAAGCATCAAAAATAGTTCAAATAAGCAAAACCACTAAGAAATTGAGCTTCTCCTATCTTTTCAATTAACCTTTTATTCTATTAAAACACTTGTGAATTTTATATAATTTTATATGTATTAAATAGTTACAACAGCTAGTTCCGGTTAATTCCCATAGGTGGCGAAAAGTGACTGCATCACTGCATTACTGGGTAAGTATATTGACTGATTCATTCTTTATGAGTGAATCAGTGAATCAATTTCATTCAACCGATTCGTTCAAAAACACTGATTCATTCAGCAACGGCCTACTGCTGCTCTGTTTGGAACTATTTCTTTTTTGCTGCGCAAAAATAAACAAAGGCAACTTTAACTGGAAAATGTAAGTGGCGCAAAAT